TACTTTAAAAAATCATATTTCTGCATTATCTTAAAGAATACAAAGGTCTAGCTAACAGTGCCTGCATTCCACTTAGGTAAAGCTAGCTAGAGTACATGACTTACTTCCCCTCTAGACAGACCATTCCAATTCTAATTTACTAGAGCCTCATCCTTCCCTAATGCATTATAACCTAGTCTGTTTTACTCAAGTTATCTACTGAGCTTTGCACTGGGGAAATTATTCCCAAAGATTTTTAAGAGCTTTGTGGTGTCTTGTATCCATAAACATATCTCTTTTAGGTATTTGTCCAAAGGCTCAAAAGAATAGAAAGCAAGGAGAGTGAGTCTTTGCCAACTCCACTGTATTAGTTGAGTGACTTTATTAGCTTATAACTTTCATAGCCATAAAATTTAGCAATTGACACCTGTCCCCAGTAGGAATGTTACAAAGATAAATAGCTTAACTTCAAAGAAAGGACGGATATATCTTTATCCATATTTTATTAATAAAAGAATTCCTTCCATATTTATGTTTGAGATAGCCAAGAACCAAATAATTTTTTATAAGGTTTTCAGTTAAACATTAGTCACTCGTAACTTTCATAAAGCCTAATACGGTTTCAAGGATATTGTCTGTTGGTTGCACTCTTTAAGTATGTTTACAGAGTAGCTATATTACTTACTAGTTGTATCAGCCATCATTGATTAGGCAAAATTTGATAAAGTTTAAAAGGAATCATTAAAAAGTGAAAATTGGATTATAATATTATATTATGTATATGTATAGATACATATACATATACATATGTATAATATTGTTAGAGAAAAGAAACAGCTTTCAACATTATAATAAAGCTTCTTTTCTTTAATTATCTTTTAGAGTTCTCAAATATTTTTTATAATCCATATTCTCATGGTGGCCAACTCATCTTAATTCAAGTTGGATGATACATCAGTTAACCTAAGTTATTCTATGGTAATAATCCCTAAATGGGAACTACTTACAGGAAGTTTTCTTTCTCTTCATGTTATTTGTCAATCGCAGTCATCTTCAACTTCATTTCATCCTTCTGGGACTCTGGTGAAGGGGCATCCATTCTTTGGGACATGCCATTCTTGTCATATAAAGAAAAGAGAGACATTAGAACTAAGTGATTACTATTAAAATTCCTGGTCAATGTGGCACTCATCACTTTCTTTCATATTTCATTGAATAAAAATTAAGGCAAAATGCCAAGCCTGCCATTCAAGAAGGTGAAGAGGTAAAGTCTTCCTACTGGAAGGGACATAAAATATTTGGGAATAGTAATTTGATTTACCATAGAGCCTATTTTCATTCTCAAGAAGGTATCCTTTTGATTGACTTTTGGAATATTTATAAAATCATCCCCCTTTTATTTAGGTTTTTGCTTATTATACAAGCAAGACTTTTTTTATCTTTGAGATGGAGATGGGGTTTAGTCCAACTTAGTATTTCTTATTATACTACAAAAAATAAGAATTAAAATTACTTTGAAAAATCAATAAATATCTAGGGAACACATGCATATAATTGTGATCTAAGTATAACCAATATTAACTTTATAAACCGAACTAATTGAAATCTTCACTGTATACCTCCAAATGAAGGAAAATAACTCATTACCACCTGATTCCTGTTCCAGCCATCAGGAGACCCACCAAAAAATTTCATGTAGTTAGTATTTTGTATGAGACTTCAAGTAGTTTCTTCAAACCTGATGGAAATCTTTCTGTTTTTGTGTGATGTCACAAGGAAGAGATGTTTGATTTACATAGGTAGCAAATAATAGATTTTTAGACTTAATTATATATGAAACATACATTTTCTTTTTAATCTAGCATTTCTTCCTGTAGTACTTTTTAAAAGTTATTTGTAAATAGTTGGTACCTTGGGCACTGAGCCCAGCTTTGCTTAATCTTACTGTCTTTAGAGCAGTCTATTTCTATTTTAAGATACTTTGGTAATTATTGATTTGTTTTCTAAAAATGGAGTAAATGATCTCATTTTGTGGAGCTAACTTCTTCTTAAATGATATTTTATGACTAGATGGTTTAAAACAACTTTATCTAGCTTTTGATTAGACAACAGATGTTATCTAATCAAAACAGATTAGATAACATCTAATGTTTCGACATTAGATGTGAAAACAGATGTGACAACGAAATCACACTGCACAAACAAAATTTATTCACTCATGGAATATTTATAGCTAGCATTTATAAAATGCTACTGGTATTGTTCCGAGTGGTTTATATATATTGATTCATTTAGTCCTCACAACCTTGTGAGATAAGGTGTTAATATTATCACCATTGTATAGATGAAGGATTAATACCTACTTTAATACAGACGTAAGTTCAGCTTTGGAATAATAAGTCATGTTTGACAGGGTTTATCAGCAAGACTAGGAAGTTGGCCAATTAATGCAGGAAATAGAACAGAAGAAAGGGAAGTAGTAGCAGAAGCTGTTTAGAGGTTCCCTGAATCTTACTCTATTCTCTTAATAGAAGAATTTCAAACAAACAAACAAAAAACATAGTCAATTCTCTTAAGCTGTTAGGCAAATTATTTTCTACTTAGCTTTAGGTCAACAAATAATCTTTTAATTCTTGTGAAAGGCAAAATCTGGAACTTATACATAGCTTACATTATGATCTTGAAACATTAGCTTTTTTTTAATCTTCAAAGGGAACACAGGAACTCAGGAATTGTTCTTCTAGTTAGAACAGAGACAAAGTGCATAAATTCCAACTCTTCCTTTGGATGGTTCATTACCTTCTCAATAGCTATGGGACCACAGTCTACTGTGGGATGGCTGCACTTACCTAGTAGCATAGAGAAGTCTATGAGTAGGTCTGACAATCCAGCCCCCTGTTAATCTGGAGATCCATTTTCTCTTTTGTAGATATGTTGGTGGACTAGCGTATGTGTATAAAATGTTTTTACAGGGATAGATTTTGTTTTATATGTTGATGTAATTTATTAGGCAAATAATCTAATGGAAATAGTAATTAACTCCAATTCATGGTTACCCAGCTGTCTTTGATTAAAAAACATTATAAGATAAAGGAATCAAATGAGAGTATGAATGAGTCACATTTTAATTTTATTTATTGTAGTTTTAATTTGCTGTCTATAACTTTCTCATGGTTTTCGCAAAGCGTTTAATTTAATCAGACTCTTAAGTTCTTCTAAATGTTAGGAGTAACGTGTCCATTTTTATCAGCTCATCCCTGAAAGTAGAAACTCTAGACAGCAATCCATTATTAGGTCTGTTTTCCACATTTGTTAAGTATACTATAAAGTATTTAAACCTTTAAACATTGGAATTTTCATAGGAAAATTAGAGAAACTGAGAGAAAAACCAGGAGGAAAATAAGAATTGGATTTGTCAATAGCTTGGATATGGGAGACAGTCAAAACTGATAATCAGTCATACGTAAGAGGTCATACAATATTCAGGTTTATGCCATTGGTAAGTCAGACTGGAAAGGTTAGGCAGGGCTGGTATTTGCTACCTTTCCTCCCAAAGTTGACGTTCCTTTTCCTGAATGTATTATTATTATTTTGACTCTTCAAATTTTAGTGACGGGTAACCTTAAGCAGTAATAAAAGCCCTATATATAATTTGCCAGTGTTTTAACTTTTTTTTAAGGTACTTAAGTGATTGACACATGATAGCTTTTTCTAGGTTCTTCCGGTTAAAGAGCAGCCAGAAAAAATTTAAATATGGCAAGACTCCGACATGTCAAAGGTCACATAACCTTTAGGTACAGCAGATTTTCTATTAATCTAGTGCTACATTTTAAGATTAAGTAGATGACTCAACCTGGTGATCCGTTAATGATGTCCCTGACAAACACCACCCTTCCTGTGTCTTAAAGATCACCCCATTGACCTTCGTGGGTCTACGCATTGCCAGGGCATAAGTGGGCTCAAGAGGAAAACCCGGAGTTTACCCCATCCTTGGCTCTTTCCCCACAGGTCCAAAAGGATAAACGGGTGGAGGGATACGAAGCCGAAGCGATTAAGGGACCCGTATTCGGAGGCTCCTATTTTAAAATGATGCAGCCGCTTTTAAAATAGAAGAGTATCCACAATTTTGCTTTCCAGCAAACTAATGTTCGGGGAATCCCTGCTGTCCAGAAACATTTGGGGGATACCAGCGTACATTAAAAAAAATAACTGTTTCAAAGGAAAGCAGTCGTGCTCTGGAATCCCTCCCCCTCCCCGCCCGGGCGCCAGCCCTCCCAGCGGCTAAGTCGCATAGCTGAAAGGCTTTTGCTCATTTTTTCCAAAACACTTCGCATCTGGGTAGTGGCCAACCATGGAAAGTTTCAAGTAAATGTAACATTTGGGAGGGAGACGATGTTCGTCTGGGGCTGCCTTCCCTGGACCGCGGCCACCGGAGGTGTCGCCTCACGCCCTCTCCGGACCGCCGGGCCAACGCAAGCCTGGACCAGCCCAGCTCTGGCGGCCCAGATGCCCCCTGCGGCCCACCAGGCCGGCTGCCGGCCCCTTGGCTTGCCCGTCGGTCTCCACCGCGGGTTCGAAGCCCCCGAGTCCGGGAGCCAATCCGCCTCGTAAACGCCGAGACCCCTGGGTCCCCGGGTCCTCAGGTCCCCACGAGCGCAGCCTCGCGGCGGGAAAGCGCGAGGAAGGGACCGAGCTGGAGCCCCAACGGGCTCCCACGCCTCGCACGTCAGTCCGGTTACCCTCCCCAGCCACCCCCTCCGCCGGAGCCCGAGCCCCAGCCCCAGCCCCAGCCCCAGCCCGAGCCCCAGTCCCCGCCCCCGCCCCCGCCCCGACTCAGCGCGCACCCGGCGCCGAGAGAAATTTGACTGCTCCAGTCACCAATCAGGAGAGAGGTCGAGGGAACGAGCCAATCGCAGCGGGGAGAGGGGAAGGACGCCAGTGTCCTCCCGCCCCCACGAGGGTGAGCGCGGAATGTCTCCGGCCCTCCCCTGCGCCTCAGTCTCAGTGCGGAGCTCTCGGCCGTGTGAGGAGGAGCAGCAGCCCGCAGCCGCGGAGGAGCCGCAGAAGCTGCGAGAGCGGGAACCGAAACCACACCCACGTCGCCGCTCCTGTCCTCTGTCGCCCTCTCGGCGTCCCACCCGAGGCCGCGTTCCGGAGGACAGCGGCCGCTCACTCCCCGAGCATCCTCCCCGCCGAGCGGGTGCTGACAGAGCAGGCGGCATGATGCGCCTGCGGGGCTCGGCGGTGCTGCGCGACCTGCTCCTGCGGCCTCCCGCCGCCTCCTGCGCGGCTCTGAGGCGGGCGCAGCCCCTCGCCACACAGTGCCGGCGTCCCCGAGGCGGGGAACAGGGGACCGCCGGCCCAGCGGCCGCCGCGCGTCTCCACCCGTGGTGGGGCGGGGGCGGCCGGCCGGCGGGGCCCCTCGCGCGGGGACTGTCTAGCTCCCCTTCGGAGATCCTGCAGGAGCTGGGCAAGGGGGGCCCGCAGCCGCCGCAGCAGCAGCAGCAGCCCGGGGCGGCCCCGCCCGCGGCCCCGTCGGCTCCCGGCCCCAAGGACGGCCCCGGGGAGACGGACGCGTTCGGCAACAGTGAGGGCAAGGAGCTGGTGGCCTCGGGCGAAAAGTGAGTGTCTCCGCCGGGCGGAGGCGGCCTCCCCCTGCGGGGGGCCCGGGAGGGGCCTGCGGTGGGGCGGGATGGGAGCGGAGGTTCGAGAAAGAGAAAGAAAGAGATGCCGGCGGCCTGCGCAGGCTGCGCCATGTGATTAGGTCCGGCCCCGCCCGCGCCTTCCCTGCCGTCGCCCCTCCGCGAGGCCCCCACTTCCCTTCCCCGCCCCCGGCGCGGGCCGCCCGGGAGGAGCAGCGCGGGGGCCGCGGTGGGGGGGGGGGGGGCTGGGCCCCCCCCCCCCCCCCCCCCCCCCCCCCCCGTCCTCCCCGCCCGGGAACCGCGGCCGCCTGTGCGCGCCGCGTGCGCCGCGCGCCGGCCCCCGGCTGCAGCACCTGGCGCCGGCCCAGCTCTCGTGGGTGATGCCGCACGAACCGCTCCGCCGGATGACATTCGGGAGTCGGTGTGGAGCCCGCCCGGTGCCTTCCCGGCTCCTGACTCGTCGCTCCCCGGCTCGGGTTTCTCCCCTGAGCCGCCCCCGTTCGCTCGCTGCCACGGTCTCCTTAGGAGCCTCGCGTGGCAGAACGTTCGTAACCTTTCTGGAGTGGCGCCTCCCGGCGCGCTGCGCAGCCATCTGGGGCGCCGGAAATCGTGTTTTCGCAGCGAGATTAGGAGGAGAGTCATGTGGCCGAGATGGGGCGCGCCGGAGGAGACTACCTGTTTGTCCTGGGACCAGCCTTGGCCTGTCCGATGCCTCTCAGGAGTGGGTGAATTTTAAAAAATAAAAACCAGAATAGCCAAGATGAAGCGTGACTTGGTAAAACACTGGAAAATCCGAGCCGTGTAGCCTTCGTGGCTTAGCGATAGAAGGTTGTCATCTGTGCCGCACAGCAGTTCCGACCCAAAACGCAGTGGGTTTTTCCTACACAATATGGGAAGCAGTTTTCTTGGATAGTTTGTGTGACATAAATGGACCCAGACTTTGTTTTCCATGTGAGTGAAAATATATCTGTAGGCTTTCTTTATACTTCACTGTTTTGGGGACGCTGTCCTGACACTAGGCGACCTCTTTTGCCTCCCTGTGACTTAACGTTCCACGTTGTCTCCAGCCTCAGATCACCTTAAGTCAAACTGAAAGTGCCGTTTGATTTTTGTATTTTCAGTCTCAGGCCGGCCTAATGTTTCCTGTAATTGAAGTTGGCACCTTCCTAAAACATTCCAAGCTAAAGTTTTCCCAGACTGAAAAATGTCACTTAAAAAAACAAAACAAAAAACACACATTTCGTGATGGGGAACATTTGTTGTATTCTGTGACAATGATTTTGTGCGGCAAAGTAGCCTTAGGACCATAGGCAGGTCATTTAACATCTTAGATGATTTAAATCCCTTCAAGGTCCAGAAAGCTAGACTTGTGTTAAATTTTGACCTCTCATGTTTTTTAGGGAATAGAATGTGTGCTTAATCTCATGTGGAACTCTCTTGTACCTTATCATCTGGTTTACGAGACTTGGAACTCGCTTAAATACCTGAGCCTGGAGTTACGGAATTGCAAAATGCAATTGCCAGCATTTAAAAGTTGTTCTTAAGGCTGTAGAATGGGAGCAGCTTTCTGTTGAAAATGTCTTCCAGTCTGTGTCTCCTCAGTGGCTTTAGTGTCCCTCTTTTTTTCCCTTTTTGTCAGTTAGGAAATTGAGCTCCTTTTGTGATTCACATGTTTCCCAGAAGTTTCTAGCTTCATTGTCTTCTGAATAAGAGATGAACTCTTAGCAATAACTTTCAAACACTTTGGCTAATACTTATTGACAATGATGCATAAAAATTGTCATGTACTATATCCTAACCACCAAAGAAAACCGATCTAGAGAGGGAATCCTTTAAGAATATTTGCTCAGATGCCCCGGGAGTTTGAATAACCAATAAGGTAATCTTGTTTACCTTAGTATAAAGGAGTTCATTTTTCTGCCACCAAAGTTTGGAGTAATAGCTAGACTGGCTCAGGAACAATCTAAGTATATGATAATCCTGAGAGCTTTCAGTCAAGGATTTAGAGAGTGAACCCCAGCTGCCTCCAATCCACATATAAAGTTGAAGAGCACTGGTCTCAAGATTGCCAAAAATTTTTTAAATCTTATGAAAGATTCGATTTCCTGAATGCTGTGGTTTCCAAATGTAGCTTTCCTCCTTCGACTCCTTCGATTTTGCCTTTGTGTGATAAACATTTCTCTCATTCTGGAGGTAAGCCTCCCGTTCATCCTGTTATCCTTTCTAATGCTCAGCTTCCAAAGCACAGTTCATCCCTCAGTCAGCCAGCCATCTGGAATGCCAGCACTCAGGACTCTGCCAGGTTTTATGGGGGATTATTAAAAGAAAGAGCCATGTGAAAATTAAATGAGTTGACGTTTTGTAAAAGGCTTAGGACAATATTTGATATGTGTTAAATACTACATAAATCTTTATTAAACAAGAAATTGCTTCATTTATTGTAAAACATGACAAGGACATTGACCTTTGAATTTTAGGCTCACATATGAGAAATTTCTTTTTTTTTTTTTTAATTTCCAGAAAAAATTTCTCTTGAGAAATTATTGTACTAACCTAAAACTACTTGATTTGCACTGTTTATCTTTTTAGCTTGAATACTCAGTAAGCTCAGAGTGAATTGAATAACCATACAACTTTCATTAATTAATACGGCTGAGCTATTTCTTGTTCCTACTTTACTTGGTCTTACTATATTTTATTAACTTTACCGTATTAGTTTCTGGAAAGAGGTGGGATATAAGCACATTAACCTACTTACATTTTTTTTCCGTAGTCAGATTCTTTGAACCAGTGTCATCCTAGGCTACGCCATCTCCTTAAACCAGCTTCAGTCTGGTTTAGATTCCTGATGCAGCTTAAGATTTTACTTCTATCTTAGGTATCTTAGAGAAAATCTAATGATCTTCGCTCAGTTTTGACTGGAGTACGCCTGATTTTTGTTGCTATCATTTCATCATTTTGAAAACCACTTGGCTTGGCTATCTTCATTTTTTAAATTGTTCTCTTTGCTTTCCTGGCTCTTTTTTGGATTTGCTCACTGAGTAAACCCTGAGGCTAAAGCTTTTGCTTCTTTCCCACTTGTCTGTCTTCTCAACATGTGCCTTCTCTCAGCTTTGACTCTCATGGTAATATTTCTTCTCTTATCCAAACTCTTTTCTTACATTTATCTCCACATGTTTGATGACCCACATTTAAATTCTGTGCCCCCATATTCATTCTTCTGTCCCATTTCAATCTATTTTGCATACTGTTCTGAGATTAATTATAGAGTTTTGATTTCAAACTACCACTCTTCTTCCAGAATACCAATAGACTGGAGTGAGCATTATATCAAAATCGCAAACCGTGCTGTAGCATTCAGTAGTCTTGATCAACCTTAATGCCAAATGCTTGCCCATCATGGACATTTTATCATACTGTTCCCCATTAAGCATGCCATGCTTCATTTCTGTAAAGCTCAGAAGTGGGTATCCTATCTTAGTAAAGAGTAAAGAGTGACAAAGGGCTAGCAGGGTGGGAATGAGGGACATTTTTGTTACCTTCCGTTTGGACATTTTATTGTTTAATTAGAAAGGAAAAAGATATAACAAAAGGACCAGGCTGGGAAAATATCAGCACATGTATGTTCTTTAGTAAGCAGGTAATTCATTCAGGGTACAATACTGACGATACAGGAAACAGTATTCCATCAAAACGATGAGATCATTTTTACCCTATCGGATGGGCAGATGTTAAGTTAAATCAAGTGATGCAGATGGTGAGGGAGTAGGAACTCTTACATTGCTAGTGGAAGTGTAAATTAGTTCAGCTATTTGGAGGGTGGCTTGGTAGTATCTGTCAAAAACCGCACATTCCCATGATGCAGTGAGTGATGGAATGTTTGCTCATCTGCACGAAGTCATGGCCTTTAAAAATGTATCTTAAATATGCAGAGTTAAAAATATATTAAGGGGCACTTGGGTGACTTGGTTGTCTGTCTTCGGCTCAGGTCATGATCTTGGGATCAAGGCTCCCACGGCCTCTCTTCCCCACAGCACCCTAGCTTCAGATTGTGTGACTTATTTTGGTAGTTAATATTGATTAAATGGAAAGTGAGGGTCAAAGAATCATTGAATCATATGCTATAAGAATTAAATCTCAGAGTAAGATTAAATGCCTAGGCATTTCAGCAAACATTGAATTGGGTCTATACACGGTACTGATAATGAAGTTGAGACAGTATTTGGCAGATACAGATCGTTTCAAAGTGAAAGAACCTCTCTGAAATAGGTGACAAATTCTGTCATCCTTTAATAATGTGTTTGCTTTTCATTTGTAAAAGTGAACATATGTATAATTCATTAAAATTGAGATTGAAATATATTTAATTGGGAGCTTTCAGTGAACCCCTCTGATTTTATTTGTGGTTTCCTCTATTAAAAAATTTTTTTAAATTAGTTATCAGTGAGTTTTAGTTTACTTTTAATGGCCAGTTGTAACATACATCATAACATTATTTGCTGTCTAATGTTTATATTAAACTACATACATCTCTTTAGTCATGAATGTATCTGTGGTGATCTGTAATTAACAAACTACATGCTGCTTATTAATTTTTAGATGAAGTTCACTGAAAGAGCGTGAATTAGATCTTGAACTTTAGTGTCTTTGAATTTTAGCTTCTTTTCAGGCTTTACTGTTTACAAAGAAGTCTGCCTACTCAAAATCAACTAACTCAGGAAATGACTACCAAATTGAATTCAGGTTTTTTTTGAGGCAGTAGGTAGGGAAAAGTAACGGGTGGGAGGGGCACTATTTTTATCTGAAAAAGCTAAATGTCATTTTGAAGAGAACTTTGTTGAATACATTTGTGGGTTTGAGTTTCAAAAAATTATTTGAAATAAGTAAAAAGATATACTACTTCCTTGTGATTATGAAGTGAAGAAAAATTATAGCTATAGAAACTGAAAGTCTGATTGTAGGTTTTGCATTCTTTGAGG